ATTATAATGATGATCAAATGCATGACGTCAATGTATTGTTTCTATTACTCAGACTCGTATAAAGACTAAAAGAGTGACAATATTAATAGGCATTTATAAAGCATCTATCTAGACAACTATATTCCGAGGCGCACTAATAATTAACCCGGCTTTAGCCTTGCTGCCATTACGGCGCTCCAGTATTTCAAGGAATTAATTCCTACCAGGTACCCATTTATCTCACCTAGGTCGAGTGCGGCAAAGGAAGATTAGTTGCCATTAGGCATTACGGCGCTCTATTATTTCAAGGAATTAATTCTTACTAGGTTCCCATTTATCTCATCTGGGTCGGGTGTGGCAAATGGAGATTGATGCCTTGCCAAAGGACATTAATGCCGTGTCGGGGATTGAACCACGACCTTTGAATTTCGAGTCAAATGCTTAAACCACTCGACTGACACACAAAGATGAAGAGAGAGCGAAAGAGGGATGGAGGGGGTGGTCGGTGAATAGGGAGGGGAGAAAGAGGGAGAGGGGGAGATAGGTAAGAGAGGGAAGGTGTAGTTGCTTGACACATTATAATAATGATCGAAAGCATGACATCATTTCATTGTTTATCTTACTTACTGGTAGCGGTGGTTTCTTGCGATGTCGTTGTGGCTGACACCGTGATCATAGGCCTCGTAGCTGTCTTGGTCGCCACGTCCGTAGTCGATAATTCTGCTGACTCTAAAACGTTTGAAGGTTGTTGCAAATGAAACCACACTTACAAAGCAATATGATTAGGAATGACAACCTGAACATGATTACAGAAGGCCAAAACGAAGACAATTGTGCTCCCTGACAACATATAAATTGTATTAGTTTATTTATTTTATAAGGTATTATTTTGTGTCAGCTAATTTAGTGGTGCTTTGTCAAAGCCCAAGTTAATTTTGTCCAAATAATATATCTAAATGTGTTTCTATGGCGTGTTTGTTGTCATTAAACTCGTGGGCAAACAAACGAGACGGGTACCTCCTCCTTTTAGCGAAGCCCGTGACAAGAAAAACATAAAGGCTGAGGGGGGGGGGGGGGAGAAAGAGAGGGGAAAGCATTTTCTTAGTCAGGGTACGGGGATAGGATCAAGTGGGGGGAATAGAAATCAGAAAATGCTTTTCCTGTGGAAATCCCAATTCTATCAAAAAGTTCGAAAAGAGGACCGCGAGTTACTTTCTTTTTAATCATTATCATCATCATCATCATCTTCTTCTTCTTCTTCCTTCAGTTGCAGTACCGGCCACTGTCTTGTATTGTCGTACTGGTAAAATTACCGGCACAATTTGTATCATCACGTACTTAGTCAAAAATTATTCTTTCACATGATTGGTAATAAGAGCTTCCATTACATTTTTTTTAGAGGGGGCGTTTCCAAAACTGGTTATACCTTACATTGCAAATTTTAGGAAATTCACAATGTTATTTCTTATATATTTTTTTGTTTGTTTATGAATGAAAGAGGGGAGGAGAGGAGGGAGGGAGGGAGGGAGATAGAGAGAGAGAGAGAGAGAAAGAGAAAGAGAGAGAGAGAGAGAGAGAGAGAGAGAGAGAGAGAGGGGGAGGGAGATAGAGAGAGAGAGAGAGAGAGAGAGAGAGAGAGAGAGAGAGAGAGTGGAGAGTAGTAGTTGCTAGACCTACCACTGAATTTATTGCATTGTTTCTCTTACTCAGAGTCAGATAAAGACTAAAAGAGAGATGAAGAGAGAGAAAAGGGGAGGGTGGAGGTTAGGTGCCAGTAGAAGGAGACGGGTGGTGAAGGGGACGGGATAGAGAGAGGAAGAGAGAGAGAGAGAGAGAAGAAGAGAGAAAGAGAGAGAAGGGGGTAGTGGCTAGACAAATTATATTAATGATCAAAAGCATACTTACTGGAGGTAATGGTGTCTTGCGATGTTGTTGTGTCTGATATCGTGGTCGTAGGACTCGTCATCGGCTTGCTCGTCGCGTCCGTAGTCGATAATTCTGCTGACTCTGAAACGTTTGAAGGTTGTAACAAATAAAAACCAAAAATACAAAGCACTGAGATTATGAATGACAACCTGTACATGATTGTAGAGGACCAAAACGAAGAAAATTCTGCTCCCTGACAAAAAATAAATTGTGTTTGTAGATTAAGTGGTGCTTTGTCAAAGCCCAAGTAAATTTTTACCGAATAATTTATCTAAATGTGTTTGTTGTCATTAAACTCGTGGGCGAACGAATGAGACGGTTACCTGCCCCTAAATAAGGTTTTAGCGACGCCCGTGACAGGATAGAGATAAAGACTGAGAGAGAGATAGAGAGAGAGAGAGAGAGAGAGAGAGAGGGGTGGAGTGAGAGAGAGAGAGAGAGAGAGAGAGAGAGAGAGAGAGAGAGAGAGGGGAAAGTTGTTTCTCTTACTGGAGGTTGTGGTTACTTGCGATGTCGTTGCCTCTGATCGTTCCGGCATCGTGATCGTAGGGCTCGGCTCGGACTTGGTTTTGGCTTCCGTTTTCACCGAATCTGAACGGAATAAAAAACAAAGAAAAAATTGTTCAATGAGTGGGGGGAGCCAGAGTCAGGGAATGATTTGGAAATAGATAGACAGAGACAAAGAACGCACGAAGAGGATAGAAGAAGATAAAGACTGAAAGAGAGAAGAAGAAAGAGAGAAAGGGGGAGGGGTGGAGGGAGTGGTCGATGAAGGGGGAGGGGTGGAGGGAGTGGTCGATGAAGGGTGAGGGTGGTGAAGGGGGAGTGGAAAGAGAGAAAGGGGGAGTGGAAAGAGAGAAAGGGAGAGAGAGAGAGAGAGAGAGAGAGAGAGAGAGAGAGAGGGAAGGGGTAGTGGCTTGACACATTATAATAATGATCAAAAGCATGACGTCATTTCATTGTTTCTCTTACTTACTGGAGGCGGTGGTTTCTGGCGATGTCGTTGTGTCTGACACCGTGGTCATAGGCCTCGTAGATGTCTTAGTCGCCACGTCCGTAGTCGATGATTCCACTGACTCTGAAACGTTTATACAAAATGAAGCCACACGTTTTAAGTAATAACATTAGGAATGACACCTCAACAGGAATAGAAGGCCAAAACGAAGAACATTTTTCAAAAATAAACTTTTACAGTTTATTTATTTTATGAGGACTGTATAGTTTGTGTCAGGACATTGGGTTTAGTGGGTCTAAGTCAAAGGGTCTTATTTTGCCAAATCATTTATCTAAATGTATTGATATGGCGTGTCTAATTGTTGATAAACGCGTGGACAAAATAATTAGACGGTCACTTACCCCTTAAACAAATGTTTTACCGACGCCCGAGATAGGAAAGGACTTTTAAAAAATCAGATAAAGACTGAGATATACAGATATAAAGAGAGAGAGAGAGAGAGAGAGAGAGAGAGAGATAGAGAGAGAGACGGACAGAGAGAGAGGGAAAGGAGAGAGAGAGAGAGACTATAGTGGCTAAACCTAGAGGCCCGAATTCACAAAGGAGGTTTGTCGACAAACCTCCTTGAATTCGGGCCATATTGATATTAATCACATGACGTCATTTTAATGTTTCTCTTACTGGAAGTTGTGGTTTCTTGCGATGACGTTGCGTCTGATCGTTCCGGCATTGTGACCGTTGGGCTCGTCGCGGACTTGGTTTTCGCTTCCCATTGTGAACGAAATGGAAACAAATGTATTAAATTGAGTGGGGAAAAGGGAGCCGGAGTCAGGAAATGATAACAAATCAGCATCAAGAACGTTGTCGTTAAACTTATAGGCAAAATATATATTTAAATAATTAACGTACACTGTCCCCTTCTAAAGTGTTTTAGCGACGCTCCTGAAAGAAGGACAAATACAAATAAGACTATAAAAATAAGAATTAGACGGTCACTCCCCCCCCCCCCTCCTTAAAAAGATGTTTTAGTGACGCTCGGAAAGGACCGAAAAAAGTATAGAGATATCGACTGCTTCAGTCGTTAAACTGGCTGTTAAATAGGCTCAAGATGTGCAAGCTCTCGAGAGCCTATACATCAGCCAGACCTCGAATATTAAAGCAGTCGTTATGTCGTTATGTCTTTTATGCTGAATTAAAACAAAAATCTACCACGAATTCTTACCTTATTCTTTTATTGAGTAAAGATCGGTTAAAACATCACAGAAAATCTGAGAAGCTTTCTGTTTATCTTTGTTTAGCTGTGTCCGTGTCGCACAAAGGAAATTTTAACACTTAAACTACAGTGGGTATGGCAGCAAAATTTTACTATTTTCATGGTAACTGGAATTTTGAGGGATCTCACACTTGGACTATAACCGGTATTGGCATTTTTTTTGTTTCTTTACGGGAATGGCTAAAATCACGACTCCAATTTCGACCAATCAGATGGCTGGATTTTTAAAGTGAGGTATATAAAATCAGATAAAGACCGAGAGATAGGGAGAGAGAAAAAAGGGGATATAGTGGCTAGACCCATTATGATAAAAATCAAATGCATGACGTCATTTCCATGAAGCTATTGCCTAGACATACCAGAGGTAGTGGTGCTTTGAGAAGTCGTTGTGTCCGAGCGTTCCGTCATCGTAGTCGAAGGGCTCGTC